CCAGAAATGATTAAGATCTTCCAGTTATTTTTTAGAATCTTCACCTACTAGGAGACTTCCTGAAGAATCTTTAAATATATTAAAAAAATGTAACTATTTAAATAAATACTAATATACTAATTTGTATATTTGGTTTCTAATATAGTAATCGAGAGGCTTTTAGAGTTCTACGAACATCTTTACAAAAAATTGATCAGTTATTAGAATATCAAAAAGCCATCGAGGATAAGGTTACCTGCCTAGAAAATAAAATTTACACAAGTCAACATTTAATCACCGAACAGGATTTTATTGAGATAAGATTTAATTTTTTAATGTTCGAAGAACTTCAATAATATTTTAAATTCTATACTAGCGTGCAGTCAAAAGTATTGTAAAAGAAATCTTTTTTGAAAAAATATATATGAATCCTGAAGATTTTCATCGGTATACAGAGGAATATTTTCAGCAAGAACATTCAGAGTTCTTCAAAAGCCTTACAAGAAAATATTGAAAGATATATTATAAAAAATATATTCACCAAGTGATAATTATTACAGTTATTAATAATATAAATAAATTTATTAACAATATTATTTATTTAATAGCTTGTGCAATAACACTAATCGCTTCGAGGGATCATGGCTTCAAAAATCCAGGATACCATGTTTTCAGTCTTCACTGAAAACTCCTGGATAAAATCAATATAAATACAATCGTTATCGAAATTATGGCCTGGAAAAATTCGCAAAGAACCCTGGAGTGCTTCAAAAATCTTCATATCTGTCCTAGTAGGGAAAACCAAAGTGTGATGACACATATTCACAAAAAAATCTGGCCAAAAGGGGATGCCTCCAAGGAACAAGTTGCATTCGCTATCACAATATATCAAACAATTCTAAATTTGCATAATGAAAGTATTTTAATTTATGAAGCGTTAATTAAAAGCAAAATAAAAAAAAATAAAGTAAGACTTAAAATTCTTCAAAGTCTTATAAAGTTATTTGTTTACTAATAAAATATTTTAGGAAAAAATTAAAAAGAAAATCAGATTTATGGAAGGAAATTCAAGTAATAAAGATCAAGTAATACTTGAGCATGAAGATATTGAATTTTAAAGTACTCTGGAGGAAGTATAAAATGATGAAAATGATCTGGGATTACAACTGGAAACTGTAGAAATAGAAAGGTCTATTTCAGTAATGAGTGATATAAATGTAATTGATTAATTAAAATATGTAAAAATAGTATTTTTCAATAAATAAATTTTTAAAAATAAATATTTTAATAATAATGTAAAATTATTTTATTACAATTTAAAACATTTGAAAATCTCTGGAGTTGTATACAGTATATAAATCTCTGCTTTAGAGACTTCTAACAATGACGAAGTGCCTCTAGAGTTTTACACCCAAAAATTTCTAAAGATCTTTGCCAAAAAAATTATCTAATGTAGAGTCAATAATTCAGAGATAGATATAGTACTACAATGGAACAACCACTTTATTGAATTTCTTATAAAAATAATTACACAAAAGCTCACAAACACTATCCATCTGGCAAAGTGTTGCCTCTTGAATAAAACTAGATACAACTTCAGTAAATAAATAATTAAAAAAATCAACTGGCAAACAACAACAGTATACTTACAATCCATAAAGATAAGTAACCATCACACATATAGAAAAAATCAGAAACAATGAAAGTTCTGTCTTAGTCTTTGGAATGATAAACTATCAATCAAGAGCAAGCTATATGCAAGACTCCCATCTATCTATAAAAATAACAAATGCAATATATGTGAAGAACTAGAAACTAGCATACATCTTTTCCTCTGCCAACAACTCAGAATAGAAATGAAAAAGATCTTAAAGAACATAACCATAATATGCATGGAAAATTACATGGAGAAAAAAGATTTTCAACTTTTCACTACCCAATTTTCAAATAAAAATAACCTGGAATATAAGGAATACTTGATAGTGAACATCAGAGAGGCCTTGTTCAAAGAACTCATATATAGTCTCAAGATAACTATTTCAGATAGAATAGAAAGGAAAAACTATATAATAGAAATCTGGCCTGAAACAATCAAATTTCTATATCAAATATGATAAAAATGATATAAAACCTTTCAAAAGTGGAAAGCTAGAGAGGGAATTATTAGACAAAAAAAAAATTAGTAAAATACGAGACAAAAAAAAAAGATCCCACTTTTACAGCTAGGGAAAAACACATAAAAGATCAATTTATACTCCTGGTCAATGAGTTCATGAATCAATGGATTACAAATTTTATAGATAACTTCTATATATTCAAAATTTCTTTCGGCACTATCCCAGTCTTGGCAGGTTAGCTCTCCACCTTGGGAGTGGTAACAAGTTGCAAGGTAAGTACCTCAGTATAGAGAAATTCTATTGAGTTTTATTTGGTTGTAAACAGGTAGTACATCTTAGAATAGCTTCTATGTATTGATACTACATAATTATAAATAAAGCAAAGCTGAGCCAGCATTTAAAATAAATAAAAAAAAAAAGTTTTAAAAATATTTGTCTTTCAAAAACTCAAATTCTTTAATAAATATATCTATAATATTAAAAAACCAAGAGATGAGTAATATAAATTATAAATTTTTATCTATTTTCTAGGCTTCTTAGATAGTGACAAAGCTTTAATAAATAAAAGTCAAGATCCAAATACTTTTTTTGAAATATTCCAATTTGATACTTATTTAAATGAAGTACTAGTTGAATTGATTTATCTGATATTACAAGTAATGATAAAGAAAATTTCTTTCAAGACTCAAGAAAAGTAAGAAGACTATTCCAATCAAACAGATTTCTTTTAAGAGAAGAATTGCTTTTTTGAATTTTTTTAGTGGAATCTTAAATTATTCTCCTTCTTCAATTTCTTTTTTTCCTATTTCTTTAACTTAGCAATTCATAGTTTATAGATAATATACAATGACAAACTATTGATAATAAATATAGTAAATAGGGATTATTTACTAATCTTTTAGAGAAGTAAAATATTGTTTTCTAGGCCTAACTTAAAGTATTTTAGTGCAATAACAAGTTAATTATTATATGAAAAATCTATAATATTGTAAATAATTATATAACTTCTCAATAAAGACAAGCTATGTGATATGATTGTAAATTAAAAAAAATAATAATAATAAAAATAAATATTCATGATTAATATTATAATAAATTATTAATAAACTTATAATATATTAATAGTTTAAAAGTAAGTTTATATATAATCTGTAATTTTGATTCATTGTTAATTTATAATAGATGTCATTAATATTTATAATTAATTCAATAATAATAATAGTAATCAATTGATTAATAATTAATTTTATTCAATAATTATGATTCTTTCTACTAATCTTTTAACCATATATAAAAAAGATATTTATAAGAAGCTTTTATACTTCTAAATTAATAAAAACTTATCAAGAATAATTAATATTTCCTTTTTTTTATTTATTATTCTCTTAGCAACTTCTGAATAAACACATCCTTGTTGGTTTGAAATAAATAAACATACAAACTTAACTTTTAGTAATCATAAAAGTCAAAAATATATCAAGGACAAAAAAGTTTTAAAAGAAAAAGAAACTAATATATCATCATTTCATACTGTAAAGAAACAATACAAAGTTTTTATTGTAATTAAAATAATTTTTTTATTTTTTCAGTCATGTTATTCATTTTAATAATAGTTTTTTAATTTTTTTTGAGAAATTTTGCTTATCTCAATTTGATACTAAATTTTAAATAGCAAAAAGTTTATCATATCATAATTGAACAAATAGAGCTTAAATTAGTAAAAGAAATAAATAAGCTCTTATTGGTCATCTTACGTATCTAAATATATTTCTTCAACTTTATAAGAATCTGAAATTCATTATAAGTCATATATGCTTAGTGTGGATAAATATAAAATGTTGAAACCTTTTATATCAATAGTTTTTAAGAAAGAAGAGCTGAAATAGAATATATCTCCCTTCTTTTCAGCAAATATATTCAACAATCTAGATATCTTTTTGGAGAGTTTTTAATATATCCATATATACTTTTCATCAGAAACCAATGTTCTTATGACAAGAATCAAACACAAACTTCTGTTTTCTAAAACATTTTATTAACACTAGTGAAATTAAGGTTTCATATGGAATTTTTAATATTAGTGATGTTGAATACCCAAGTGAATCCTTGATAGATTAGCCCCCCATTTGAAAATAGCAATAAACTATTTGATGAATAGGATTTGCATTGTGCCCTAAGGAGTGTTGGAGGGTTTCCCAGAAGAAGAATCGTATTCCTTCTATTTTGATTTATATTTGTAAGTAGATTACCTAACCTAGATGGTCATGTAACTATCTTATCCTGGTTAGGTGAGACAGGTGAGACATAAATAGTTAACCCTCTGTACTATTAGTTGATCTGTAAATCCTTAGACAGTTGTTAATCCCGGTTGTCCCTAGGTTGTTTACTTACTTTAATAAATCGCTCTACCCTGGTGCAAGGACAAGATAGCGGTAATAAAAAAAAGATAATTGATTTTATTGGTGATATCTCTAATACTGTAATTAATCATAATTTATTTTATATAATATACGTGATTATTTTCTATTATATCCGGATCTTTACAAAAATAAAGAGGCATCTTTACAAGCAATATTACGTAACGCGATTCTAGCAATTATCCGTAATTTATTATTCATTTACATCAGAATTTTCGAAAAAAATTCTTTATTTAATAAGCAATCATATAAGGTTTTGGACAAATTACATTTAAAGAAAAAGATTATATATAATATAAAGATACCTTAAAATATTATCTTACAATCTCCGTAAATTACAGAACTCATTAGGAATATAAGCTATTTAGAAATACACAATAATGACAAGTTTCTCATGATGTATCATTTAAAAAATCTAGAAATAATAGTTAAAATAAATTAACAAGTAGTTAACATCCAGGTCACTAACTTGTAAAAGGAATAACGATTAAGAACTTTCTGAACTTGCATAACTTTTTTCATCCTCCAAAGAAAGAGTATCCCAATTCAAGCTATCCCAATAGCTTTCAATATATTTGACGATCTTCGTTACTGGATCTCGTCTTTGATCTTTTCTAATCCGTACACCAAATACGGATGCCTTCTCTATTACATCATCGTCGGTCAACACGTCTAGTAAAGCACGATATAATTTATCCGACGTTATTGATTTTGCAGGAATTCCAGAATTTATCGTGAGACCGTGCCGGTATAATAAGGATGCCCACCATGGTTGGTCGGCAAAGTGTGGTACCTGAGAATAAACATTTAGATCATCATATAGTCTATTTTATTTTGAATATAATATATATATGTGGTATGGCGGTATTTACCACGATCGACGGAACTCCTGCCTTAACTACGGCATGTGTCGTTCCTGCGCCACCATGATGGACAACACATGCAACTTTTGGGAATAGCCATGAATGAGGAATGTGATTAACGACATAAATCTTTTTATTTTGTATGCCTTCAGTCAATTCGCTATTTTCTACACTAAGATAAATTTAAGTTTATTGGATATTATTAAATAACGTAATGATAATGCAAGATGAAACTCTCCAAAACAATAAATATAAATACCCTGATACACCGGAAAATATAGCACGCTGGTTTTGGGGGAGCTTTTTCATGACATCAAGCCATAAACGAACCCGACCTTCCGCATCGCCAAAACTATGCATAGATCCATAGCCAAAATATATAGGCTTTCTTTTTTTTTTGTCTAGGAAATCGATCTTCATCAAATAATCACATAAAATTATTAAATAATTCATCCATGTTTACTGAAAAAACAATGTCAATTTAAGATAAACACCAAGTCTTTCGGTGGTTCGAAATCCCTCAATTCTTCTTTTGCATCTAGAAATGGATAATCAAATTGTTTCTCCCTAGGATTCTTCCTAAAAATAGAAAATGCATACATAAAATCTTGTATTAATTATTGAAAAAAAAAAAAAAAGCTTTCCAATAATGATAATTAACAAATAACATATGGATTAGGTTAACCTACGGATTCGGCGGTATACTAATAAGATGCTTATTTAAAGCATGTAATACCGGAATTTGCTCTGTTTCTATTGCACCGCCTGGTAGCCACGGAAGTCTAGTCCAAGTAGCTTTCATTAAATTTGAAATTCATGTGATCGAGAATAGTGCGGCAATATTGCGTACCTTTCCACAGTCGGAAGACCTAATTCTTGACATCTTTGGTTATATATCTAAATAGCATTAATGTAAAAAAATAAATATGAAAATAAGGTGTCACATTGCAGTATAGTAAAAAAAAATACTTACGGGCAACAAGCCAACATCAGACCAGAGTGTAGCAACAGAATCCTTGTAATATTAAAAAACAAAGATCAGCCGAATTCCTTTTCTTTTTTTTGTGAACCTAATTCGCTCATATAACTTACGACTGTTTTCCAAATTTTAAAATTTAGTTCGAATGGAAGCCATTGTAATGAATCAAATGAACGACCATATACTGCCTACGATTTTTTTTTTACATATATAAATATAAATAAATAAACATATATATCAATAAAAACAATCAGATAAAATCATGATCACTAACCCCAGCATAATTTTTGGTGCTCGCATAAGGATAGAAGTATATACAAGCCACGGGGATCTTTCGAATAACGCACTAATAATTTAATGGCTTCGGTTAATTTTTATTAAGGTTGCATACTATGAATGCAATTAGATATAAGTTCAATTACCTCTGGATACATATAATTTGATCCTGTGCCAAGTAGTACAAAGTCAACTCCAGTGAGAACAGTTTCAGAATCCCTGCAATGAAGAAGTAATGTCATTAACTGCCTATAAAGTTCGTGGTATTGTGTTGTGGCTAAGTCAAAATCTTTGCCGTCACAAAACCTGTTATTGCCTGTATTGTGGCTTTGAGAAAAGCCACTGATGGTCAGATGAATAACCATTGCAAAACTTACTTGTATGATTTTTGAAATCCTTGTTTCAAGAACGAAAACATGAATGGTGATCCCAGTATCGTATTTGAAGAATATTTTACCATTCGCTTTCCTATCAAAAAATGGTTGATTATTAAGAAGGACGTGAAGAAAAAAAAGAAAAATTTTAAAAATTTTGTCCCAAAATCTCACCTGCTTCGGTGTGCTCCCATTCATATTGCATATCCCACTTTATAAGTGTAAATGGAAGGAATATTTTAAAAAAAATTAAGCAAATGATACTTTCGTAAGAATATCGATTTGAAACCTTACTGTTATCTCCCTGAACTCAAATCCCTTAGATTCTATCAAATCTCGAAACCTGGAATTGGCTGCAACTATCACTACATGACCCCGACGTTGAAAACCAATCCCGAGATTTATAAAAGGAAGCACATCTCCCATAGACCCGATCGCTAGATATTTATTTTCTATTAATTAAATGATTTTCTTTAATAAAATATCGGCTAAAATATTTACACACCCATTAATAGAATTCTCCTTGAGCATTGAGAAGGCTCAACTTCGACATCAGACATACTAGCGGTAGAAACCGAAGAAGACGTCGTTGACATTTTGAAAAAAAAAAAGTTAAATGATTAAGAAAAAAATGTTAAATGTTAATACAGTTGCCGTTAATCGGTTGGTTATATAAGGATTATAAGGCCAGGTGACAAATTAAAATTCTATATTTATATTGATATAAACAAGCCATGAGTTGTCACTAAATTCTTTTTTTAAAACATTAATTAATTAAACGGGTAACTAAAAACGGTTGTCAGCAGTATAAAGCCACTCGCATCTTTATTGGTTGATCTGTTTGTATGTTCCGTTTCATATATAAAAATACCAATCTTCCAACACTATAGGAGTTATTGATGAAGTACAATAATATGTGCGTGCGTAAAAAAAAAAAATGCAGGAGGATAATCGTCCTTAAATTGGTGCGATAATTGTCCAATCGTTTATGTTACAAAATGCCACGAAAGGAAGTATTTTTACACGTAGATAATAAACCTCTAACAATAATGTCGTTTATAAAATACAGTTGATAATTGTCTCGCTGTGACATGCGAGTTTTTGATACATCAATTCCTACAGTATTCAATGTTATTTTTGCTTTGCGAATTTATTACTATAATGCTTGCAGTATATAGTAAGTCTTTAACGCGAGTGTAAAATCACATGAAATACGTTAGCAAAGAAGCTTTATGTTGTTTATTGTTTGTTCACAAGACCTATTATTATTATTATTGACGGCATTTTTTCAATGGTATTGTAGATATCTATTCGAGATTTTTCAAGCACCTTGGCGGAGTTATAAATCCTAAATGAGGTTTTCCCGAAATTATGTCACATTAGAATCGATCGAATAATCGATTAGACGCAGTAGTTTTCTCATATGGTACTAAAAATACATAGAAATAATCTTACTCGTTGTGTACCTGTCTTTAATTTCTACAACATAATCAATACTGGTAATGTTATAATGGGTTTGACCGTCAGTACTCCATGTAAAGGCGGACAATGATTTCAAAAATTAATATCACTTTGTGATATTCAATCTTTACAATGTGACTATCAGGATCATGTACATGTGCCAAGAACATGCATGTGCATAATTATTTGATTATACTGTATAAATTCAATTATAATTAATTTTATAATTATACTATAAATAAAACTTTTTTAAAAGTGATCTCTAGTTAGATTATAATAAGTTTATCAATCTTTAAATAAAAATTACAATATACTTAGACAAGTATATACTGTACATAATATAATATCAATAATACTATTATTCTATAGTGATTTTTTTTTTTTTTTTTTGAATGCTGGCTCAGTCTTATTTTATTTGTATTTATGCAGTATTATTACAAAGAAAATTTCTAGGATATACTATCAGTCTACTACCAAACAAAACTCAATAGAGATAACCTCTCTTAGGAGGAACTTACCTTATGGCTTGTTGCCACCTCTTTAGTGAGGGCTAACCTGCCAAGGTTGGACTAGTACTAAAATAAATTTCTAAGATATAAAAGTTGTCTATAGAATCTGCTATCCATTGTGTTATAAATTTGTTACCACGTTTTTTATTAGTGATATATCTGTACATTTATATAAGGCAACTGCCTTGACTCAACTGCTTACATTACTTTTTTGTACAGGATTCCATATACAGTATATGCTAACAAGTACTTATACATCTGCTTATATTAGTAATCTATATACATGAGTAGTTATCTATATATTACTAACTATATATAAGCACTACCTCATCGGAAAACCATGCAATTCCTTCTTAATTCTTTCTAGACCAGTTTTATTAAGAGTAGTCTGATTATCAGGCCGTCAAATTTTCTTTATCCTGGATCCAGTTTTTAATCTTTCGGAGTGATCCACAGATTTCTTCTTCCACCAAGGCCTTCCGATTGTTAAGTCTATAGGTCAAGGTATAGACACATGCTTGAAGTCTTGAAATCGGATAAGATCTTTAGTCAGTCCTTCCTTAGCGGCATGCAACCTGTTTAGGGGTCTACTCTTCTTGTTACCAACAGATGATAATGTGATCCTATCAGGGATAATTCTACTCAGTTTCAGATAGAGACCTGATCACAATCTTTGTATAGACTATCCTGTATTGTGGAGATCTTGATTTTCAATATAACACAATAAAAACCATTGATCATCTTGATTTGCACCAGCTATACTTAGAAACATCGGTTATATATGGTTAAGCCAATGGATGATTTGCCAGATTCTACCTGCTTATGGTTCAAGGGAATCATATTAGCCCCTTGGAGGATTTGAACCTGTATTTTGTGATCTGACCTACAGAGTGCTAACCACTGCACTATTGACTCGTAGGTCATTATTTTATAGTGATAATCTATAAATAATGATATTAATAGTTAAATAGAACAATATATTATTCTTAAAGTTATACTTAGAGTTAATAAAAATTAAAAATAAATAAGTTAATTAGAAAATTAGTTTTAATGATATACTATAATATATATTCATAAAAAATTTAATAAAATATATATAATTTTTTTTTTATACTTACTATCAGATTAATTATGCGTACTTTATTAAATATAATATAGGCTATATTATTTACAGTATCACTAAAGCTAAAATGCTAATTAACTCACTCATTTAGTTTATTGTCAAACTCGAAGTGCAACTTTGGAAATGATTTGTATCTCTGTTTATAGTTAGATAAATATCTTTCTACTATTAATATTATTGCCTGCAATTCACTACTACAGATTATTGTCTACAATTCTGATCGAGCCTAAAACTTAACTATTTCATGCCACTTTAACTCCCATTATTATTATTCTTATTAAACCTTTTCTTGAACACTCTTCTTCCATTTTTTTTTTTTCTTTTGGTTTTCTTATTTTTCTTATTGAATAAGACTTTG